TTGAACGGTGAATACACACAAGCTGTGTGGCCGGCATGAAAGTCGTTTAAACCAGGAAATCTGGTGCCGTGTCACGTGACGCGGGCAGCTGATGGCCAATCAGATGCATGCATTGCATCCATGTAGCTGCCATTTCTATAAGGCCCAACTACGCGCGAATGCATGTCAGGAACAGCGCTGGTTCAATGCATCTAGAAATCATCCCCGACGTCTGTATCAGCCGCCATTCTCCACCATCCTTGGTTTCTGAATGGGTTTTTTTTACCATGGTAAAAGATAAGAGTTCATTGGTGCCTGCCGGGACTGTGAATCATGTCGCACTTGCCAGCGATGCAGTGTGCAGGCCCGTCACCAGTCACCGTAGTACCCTCGCAATCGTGAGAGGGAAAATATAGCAAGCAAAGCTTCTGTATGAACTGAGAGCTCTGGTTGCCTTGTGCTTTCTGGGCCGTGCTACGGGTTTCGCCTTAATACCTCTTCGGGTCTTTTTTGGCCAGTGTTTGGGCGACACTGGTGATCTAATCGTTATCACTGTAAAATCACTCACAAAGATGAGGATGGCGTACCATGAGCTGAAGCACAGTTCGGTTGAAAGCCTAAAAAGGCCTAAGAAAGCTGACTTGTATAGGCTTGCTGGCCTGCTTGCGTGCCTTCCAAACTACTGCCTCTAATGCGAGTTTCCAGGCGCCGGCCCTGATCCCTCAACAAGTTGGTGCTTCCATGAGTTATTTGACCCGCGCGCCTATGAACTATTTTACTGCTGACTAGCCCGGTGCCAGCTATAAGAGCGTATGTGGAGCTTGTGACTGCGCTGCAGGTGATGCGATTGTTACAGTGGACCCCGAACGGGTCGAGTGCAGCGCCCATAGGAGCGCCTCTCGCACAACACTGCAGGAGTCTTGCAGATCAGGCGTCAACCCGTACGAGTGGGCGTGGCGGTGATGAAGTGGAACCGTGTTCCCCATCGGAACGGCGGGGAAGGTAGTCATCGGCTTTCAGGCATCCGGATGCTCCAACTAGCACGTTGCAGCACTTGCCCATGTTCGATGATAGCTTTGATCTGAGAGCAGTTATAGGCAAGGCCGCAAAGCTTCGCAGCACGCAAACTCTCAGATAACACACACGGTGCATGCATGCTTCCTGTCACTCTGTTTCGACCGGCTTATCTCCGAGGATTTCGGATGTACCATCCTTTCCCAACCTTACATCAAAGTGGTAGATTTGGTGCCATAACACTGTGGGTAGACTTGATGCCATAACACTCAAAATTGCAGGTTCAAACAGAAGTGGGGAAAAATGTTCCCCATGCCCCGCCTGATGACCGCTGAAGATGTGGCTCTGCACATTTGCGAGGTCAAGGTAGCAGGGTCAGCACCTGACTGACCTGATCACTCCAATAGCTTTGAAACTGAGACGAATCGAGTTACATAACGGATCTTTAAGCAAGTTAATAATCAGAGGTGGTACCAGCACAATAATAGGCCATTTCCTTATGGTATGCATCGAGTGTCTCATGACTCAAATTACGAAAGATGACTACGCCGTACTTCATCGCCTCAGTTTCGGCGCGTGAGATTGCCGCGGCCTTGCACACTGTACACCGACAACGAGGCAGTGGAAAGTATGATAATTGCAAGGATGGAACGTATGAATGGGTCCCTCTTATCGCACCTCCTATCAGGCAAAGCAGGAAAAGGAGGTTGTTGACCTTGAAGCTCGCGTCTTGTCGCCAAGAGGCAGCCTTGTTAGCCCTAGCTTTCCTCATGCTTCAAGTTTTAGGCGTCGCCGGTCGCACAGCAGGCGAGCTTGCAAATGGATTACCGCGGGCGTGTTCACTCTATGCCTGGTCGGATATATCCTGCACATTAGCTCGCATGTAAATGTATTGCACTCTCAGCAGCTGGATTACGAACCCATTGATGTGGTGGCAGTTTCCCTGAAGCCCAGCTGCGTAACGCGGGAGGCGATCGCCTCCCTGAACCGCTACCTACAGCCACGCGCCATCCATATCATCACCACCAGCAGTGACAAGTGCAGCATTTTCTCCTTGTTTGCGGACAACGTCGTTTGCCACCTTCAGGATAAATTCCTAGACGGTGTCACCGTTGACCTTGTCGGTGACTTCTTGCAGCGCCGGCTTGGCCTTGACCAGCATAAGCGATTCAAAGGCCGGGATCTGTCTGGCTGGTATATGCAGCAGTTCCTCAAGCTGGGCTCTGTGTTGGCGCTCCCAGGCCTGTCCATATACTACGTGGTATGGGATCTCGATATGATTCTGCTGTCCCCAGTGCAGCTGGTGTGGCGCGACCGGGAACTGCCTGGGGGCGGCCTCGCTGGTATGTCCGCCTCCGTCGGGCAGACCCAGACGCTCGTCAACATAGGTGGCTCCGTGGCCCCCGGCTACATGGCCAGCTTTCAGCGACTTACGAAGCATGGCCTAGAGTTTGCGCCCGACGGTACATCTTTTGTGACACACTGGATGGTCATTTACAAACCCTACCTTCTGGAGTTTCTCCGGGAGCTGTCTAATGACGGTGATGGGCCAACGGACTGGGTGTGGCGCATCCTAGGGGCCGTGGAACCCCGTTATGCTGATTTGGGTTTTAGCGAGTACGCGTCCTACATCAGCTGGGTACGGCAGCATTACCCCCAGTCCCAACGCCTGGCTTCGCGCAAGACGTGGGTGCGGCATCCCTTTGGGCAGAGGACTGTGAGTCTTCTGCGACTACTGCGCACTGATCGTTGTTGCTGCCCCAACGGCATGCTGTTATGGTTACTGCGATTGCTGGGACTCGTGTACACTGGCTACGAGGTTGGGCATATTCCGGAGTGCCGCTATGATGCGTCCGAGCACGCCATGTCGTACGGACTGTAGCATTTTGATAGCAGATCCGCGGTGTGGGCTGTAGCGCACACGACCTCTGGTCCTTTGGCCTTAGGGCTCTGGCCCTTCATACGCATGATACTGCTATCGCAGTGAGTTCGACGTGCTTTGTGAAACATTGTCCACAGCAACCGATTGGCAACGGGCGCTATGGGGACGCCGGTGCCCAGGACTGCAGCATGTATGAATGCATAGAAAGAAGGGTGCGGTAATGGTGACACAAGCGTTGTTGGACGGATTGTGCGGAGGTTACGGCACGGTGCTGTGCGCCATCAATCCTGGGGCCCTGGCGTAGTAGGAATTAGCGTGGCTGCAAACGGCGGAGGCGTGTCTCCCAATTTGTGCTCCCGTTTACCTGCCTGTGCGTTTTACACGCAACGTAAGGAGTAAAGGGTCGCAGGTACACGCCAAGGATGTACGGTGATAGCCAGACCCTGCCACATGGAACCAATTGGTACTTTTCCCTGCTGATGTTGTGTGTATGGAGGTTTGACTCTTCGGTCTTGTTGAGGTGCACGATAGAGGTAGGGGATAGGGAGGCATGCATTGTTGCGCGAGTTGTGTAACCATGGATAGGATCCGTTGTAGTCACCACCAGTCGAGTGCAACTTATTGCTAGGTTAACGGAAAAGCATCTTCTTCCCTGTTCATGTACTCTCTGTTGCGGACTTCTTGTACTTTCAGTTGATCCCGTTGGCCCAGGAAGGTCAAGTTGCTGTACCTGACTGGGCGGTCTACCCGGAGTTTCATCGTGCGCGGGGTGTTGCTTTTTTCTTTATTGTCTCACCTCTGTCTCGTCCGAGGCTTCGCTTGCGTTCTAGAACGGGGATCTGGACCTTCTTGCAGGATTGACAAGGTGCATTCGTGGTTTACTTACCTTGACCATGTGCTGGCATTACGCCAAATTTCCCTTCATGTGTAGCAGCAACAGTTTGTAGTAAATGGCTGTGTGTGCCTAATGATGAGCGTCCGGCACGAGTCACGACAACAGTTGGGAGGTTTTGCTGTTAAACAGGCTGCACCTCCCGTAATGGCAGTGCTGGTATTGCAACTGCGTCGCGTGTATGTGTTCGGCCAGGGATACGCTCTGCCGTCGAGGCACGATCCCCCTCCACATATAGAAGGTGCATGTTCCAACAAATGCTAAGGAATTCATGGTGTCGAGCATTGGATGCCTTTCGTCTTGGGCGGAATGCTATTCACGCCTCAAGATGTGATCCAGCCTCCCTTTTTTCGCTCAAGATTGTGCGGTTTTGAGCCCGGGCTTGCATGGGAATTGACTATGCATTGTGCGGCCCAGGATGCATGTAGTAACAGAGTGTCGAATCGGCCTGAAGTGCTTGCAGGTGGGAAATTGGTTGCGTGAGTGTAGTACAAAGGTAGCGACGGAGTCGCTGGAGGCGGGGCGGGCCTGTGCCCCCTGTCAACTGGGTTAGCACAACACAGGGTTCTAGGATCGGAGGAGGGTGGTGACGTTTCTTGTCGTTTTGTTTTGAGCCCTGCAATGAGCTTGCACCAGGCAACTGCGCATTAAAGGAAGGGAACGAGCAGTCGGTTCGCGGTGCCTCTTTTAGCACAGCATGGTGCGCGCCAGCCGGCTGGTCATAAGGGGCAGCCAAATGCCGCCCCAGCGCCACCTCCCATTTCAACATTCCTCAAACACCCGAGGAGCAGGCGGCCATGTATTAACCAGTCATGTAGTAAGGGCGATGGTGTCTTGGACCTGCTATACGAGTAGTCAGGATTCCTGTAGAAATGAAAATTATTGGCGTGGCTTCTATCGCAGACAAGAGGAAATGGCTGGCATGTCAAATGGATACGGGCCGTTCCAGGCGGTGGTAGTTAAGTGCACGTGAAACTTTTGTCTTTAAACAAGGACAAAAGTACATAGCTTTTCGGGGAAAGATGGCACTGCAGATGTCAGTGCAAAAGGGGTTTTACCCCTTTAGTGTAATGTGCCTGTCCCATGTATGTGCCATGCAGGGATAGTCTGATGAGTTCTAGGTGCTCTCACTCTAGGTAATTCCTTCTTAACTTCTGACGCTCGTGTATGTGGGCGAGATCTTCGGAACCGAACACCTGGGTGCTTCCCGCCTAACTCTATCAAAGGTGCAATGGGAAGCCCTTGGGAATGATTCTGACAGAGGTTTGGGGCGAAAACGCCATGATTGCTTCTCCTGCACTTCATGAGGCTTATGCCATCATGCAGGGGGTAATGCATATAAACACTGTCCTATGGCTGGCAAGACCAAACTAAACAGAAAAAAAACACGTGCCGGTCATTACAGGTCGGTCGTACCCTCAGCTGCAGAATGTCACTCACTCGGCCAGAGGTCCTTTCGCAATCCCACATTTCCCAAGTATGCCTGGGACCAAGCAATAAGCCCAAACGCGTTCCAATCAGGTGCCGCAGCGAGTCTCCTTGTAATCAGCAGCATCCTAAAAACGGACCCTATCGCCTACTGTAATCTGCCGTTCTTTTCCTGCCCCTGTGCAGCACATTCCATACCATGCGGTCCCTTTGCTCACATCCATTCCCTTCCCTTAGAACTTAAGGCTCCTGAAACCCTAATGCTACGCTTTTCTCCCAGGCAAAGAGATAGACTGATCCCAGCCTGCTTGCTTGGCAAGGGCAGCGGCAAACAGGGTATGGACTGTGGACCCGAAAACGAAAAATATACTGGCGGCACCGGTCATCCTGCATTGGTACACGCGGCAACTCCGGCACGCTGCTTGCAATACCTGACCCATTGTGAACATCACCTACCCGTTCTATCCGGCCCCAGGAACTAACCTGCAGGAAATAACTTCCGTCCTATTCTCGCAGGAATCCAACACCTCCCTTTCTGCCATAGGAAAGGGGAAAGAATGACTTACTGCCGTGCATCCTGACAGCTTTTCCCATCCCCAAAGCAGCTCCTTCCTGGCCCTAGTTTGGTTTTCAGTCATCAATACTGTATAGGTGTCAAGATCCATACACAACGCTGCTGTTGTTGCCGCGGCTGACACTCCTGCCAAGAATACACGAACGAACACAACGCGGAAACAGGCAATGTTACCTTGTAACACTTGATGAAAACAGTCAGGTGGACTACCATGCATACCAAGCACCACTCCATTCCTGAAATCTAATGCCGCTGCCCAACATAGCTCATACCAATCCTGGCAATATCTTGTCCCGCCCCTTCTTCACCACGCTCGTACTGTACGCATTGTAGGATGCGTGAACAAGAGGACCGTCCCGCCGCGACGTACGGATGCACAGCCTAAACGTAAGCCCTTCGTAATCAAGGTCCGCGCCCCTGAGCCTCAGCGTCGCCCCACTTCCAGTCCACCCAGGGGATCGAGCAACACCATCGGGGCAGTGGTGACATCCGGAACCCGGACTGCAGCCGGCGCCTGGGTCCCTGTGGTCCTCGCAGGCGGTTCTGCGCTAGTGGTTCCGTACTCCTGCTGCTCCTGCGGCTGGAGTGGGGACGGCGGCTGCGGCTCCTGCTCCTCTCCTGCCGAACTCGCCTCCGCATCCAGCGCTTCCGCTCCCGTCATCGTCATCGGTAGTGCTGCTCCAGCGACCGGCGTCGATGTTGACGGCAACGACAGTGCGTCCTGGGCCCCAGTCCCAGTCAGGGCAGCTTCCTCACGTGCTGCAACTGCAGCCCCCTGAACATTGCTTGTACTTGCCCGCGGTTCAACAAGAGCCTCGCCAGAGCCAATGACGAGGGAGGCTGCTGCCGCTTCAGACTCCGTCGTCAGACCGACCATTGTCCCGTCAGCGAACCCCTCGACCTGTGCGACGGCATCAACCGCGAGTGAGGCTGCTCGCTCCGTCGCTGGCGCCGCTGCTGCTGCTGCTGCTCCGGAGTCCGCTGCTGCTGCTGCTGCCCGGTGCTGGCAATCTGCATCGCCCTCCACGGATTGGGACTGTACTGTGGAAGCTAAGGTTGTGTCCAGGGACACGGACATCGCTGCGGGTGTAGACGCATACCCACCTTGCTCTCCTGTTGCCGAGCGGTCATCGCCATCACCTGGTTTGGGCCCATTGATGGCATCGTTACGGGCCGGTACGGAGCTGCCGCCGTCCTGCAGCGATCGCCGCCGTTCCACAGGCGGCGGCTGCTCCTGCTGCTGCTGTGGGGGGGGCGACATTAGGATGGCAGGAACTTTGCTAGACAATAGAGTGACTGATGACGATGCTGCGTCGCTGTCGGATGCATTGCGGATAGCAGCACTGAATGGCTCCCCAGACTCTGTAGACAGCCGTTGCATATCGTCAGATACATCGCGTCCACCATAGCCGGAAGTCGTTGCCGGCGTGGCTGCCGCGACAACCGCGGTTCCGGCCGGCACCATTGGCACCGCCAAGGGCGGTGGCCCGACACAGGCTGCCGTATCGGGATGACGCGCAGGCGCCACTGGCGGCGGTGCAAGCCGGGCGTCGGGACTTGCACCAGTCGCGACAATGCTCACTGAGGCTGGCGACTGCAGCACCGAAACGGGGACGGTGACGGCGGCGGGTAGCTCTCCCGCTGCCGCCGGCCCTGGCGGCGCCGTGGTGGGGTTGGCAGCTGCAGCAGGAGCGCCACCCAGTCCCGCGCTCCCCGCCGGCACGGGCCGGGCCTGGCCATCCGTCGGCAGCAAGCCGTAATGTTTGGTGTAAAAGGTGGTGAGGCGGGTTACATAGCTGCTGGATCTTGAGGAGTCCAATGGCAATGACAATAACGCCTGCAACATGAACAGCGCATTCGCACGCCGACTGGCTTCCCATGCCGCCGTTGCCAGCGCTTGCGCCTCCACTGCAGCAGTTGCCGCCGCTGTGGCGGCTGCGCCGCTGCTTCCCAAGCCCCGCAGCAGCCCTGACGCACCCGACGGAAGCGGCGCCGACGGGGACGGTACCACCGTCGGCGGCGTCAGGCTGTCCAGCAGCCCCGCCAACGACTCGCTGCATGCCGCCGCCACACGGCCAAAAATGTACGACACCTCCTCCGGCTGCAGGATGGGTTGCAGTACGGAGCGCAGCGTGCCGAGCTGTCGCGCCAGCAGACGCAGCGCCTCGGAGGGCACTGGCTGCGCGGCTTGCTGGGCTTGGAGCGATGCCGCAGCGCGCCCCCACGCATCCGAATCTGCAGATATTTGCCTGCGGTTGGGATGGCGGGAAACACTTGAACTATTGAACTGTTGGGTTCTAGATTAGGGCGTTATTCAGTAGTCCTTCTGTAAGTGAGAGAGCCCGGCACCAGAGTGCCCTCTGCTGGCCCGGGGCCCCGCCCTCGCACTCAGGTGCCCAGGTCAGAAGACCTCCTAATGGCCCCATCACACCGCACTCGCCCGCACGGGTGCCTCACCTGCACGCCGCCAGCACCCGGTCCTGCATAATGTCCACCAGTTTGCCGTGGATCTCCTCCACATGCAGATTCAGATCCTGGGGAAGAAGGGCACCAAGTCAGGGGGGGTCAGGGGGGGTCTGGGCAGAGGGATATCCATTCCGTGGTGTTCCATCCATTGTTTCTTTATACTGGTGTAATAGTGCCGGCAAAAACAGATCTCTATACTCTATGCCCAGTTTAGAGCAGCCATGTACTAATACAGATATAATGCAGCCTCGCCACTGTCCTGTTCTACCTACTTCTTCCTCTTGCTGTCGTTGTTTGCCACTAACAACAACATACGGCGTTGATCTGCGCTACAACTCCACGGGCGCTCAAATCTTAACACGCAAATGCACACGTAGAGATATCTGCGAAGCGTTTTGAGTTTTCAACGTAAGTGGTGCCCCTTTCGGACACACGAACACATACATACAAACGTACACACACGCGACTACATACCTGCGCCAGCCGGTCAAACTCCGGCATGAGCAGCGCCCGCCGCGGTGCCTCCGCAATGGCCGCCGCCAGCTGCCACCTCAGCAGCGGCAACACCGCCAGCAGCGCCGCAAGCGACTGAGCTGCCAGAGCTAGGTGCTTGGCTGATATGGACTTGAGGCCGGCAGTGCGCATGGCACCCGCACCTAGGACCTGGACATAATTCACAATGTTCCAAGCCCACGCGAGCGCTCTTGGTCGCACTAAGAGGATCGAGGGAGCGGAGAATGCTTCGACGAGGGCATGGAGAGAAGGGAGAGAAATGAAAAGGGGGCCCAGCCCCGTGGCCAACTCATCCCGGCCACCACCAACATCGCCTCTCACCAGAAGTCCCTACCACCCCACCTGCTGTGCAGTAACGGTGTTGAAGCTCCGCAACAGCTCCATGCAGCGCTGCGCCACATCCGGACCCACAGTGGAAAGCGCCCAACTGGCAGCCTGGGATGGCGCCTGTCCGGCAACTGCCCCCCACCGCCGTAACGTTGCTGTGCCGGCCCCGCTGACCGCCTCTGCCGCGGCCGTCAATGCCGCCGCCGTGGCCGCGGTAGGCGGCGGCGAAGCCGGCAAAAGGCCCATGTAGTGCTCGTCCAGGAGCTTCAGCAGCATCAGCAGGGCGTTGACTGGCCAGTAGTGGCGGCCGCCCAGTCTCAACAAACCTGAGCAGCAGCGACAGAGCGGTACAGACATTACCTTGGGGGACCTAACCGCAGCGCCCCTACCTCATCCTCCCCCACCTCGCACAACAGAGAGTGCAATCTGTGACCGCTGCACCCATATACACACATACGACCCCTTGCCGCATAACAGCAACCCCTGTGAGTGCCTACGGGCCTCCGGGCCCCCGTTCAGTCCCCCACACCCGTTAAACTCCATTCAGCCATCGCATCCATCATCGCCCAGTTCTCCACTCTTCCAACCCCAAACGCACTGCACAGTCTTAACCTCGGCTTCTTACCTGGGGCCCCACCTGGATTCTTCATGCATGATCCACACCCTCAACCCCCACATATACACTCCATAACCACAACACCACAACACGTATGCAATCACCTTGCGTAGGTCGCTGCCCCTCGAGCTTCCCGTCGGCCGCCCCAGACGCCGCCTTGGCCTGCTCCTGCCCCTCCCGCCGCTGCTGCTGCGCCATCTCGTCCCCCTCCTGCAGCTGCTGCTGTGGCGACTGTGGCCTGGCTCCCGGACACCTGTCCTCCAAACGGTCCACTATGGCTTGGAATGACGCATGAGCCTCCGCTGGCACCCACTGCTCCGCCTCCAGCAGGTGCTGCATCTGCGGACATGCAGGGGAAGGGAAAGGGGGCGTCATGGGAGTTTAGGGCTCAGGTGGAGAGAGAGGGGGAGCGAACCAGAAGTCAACCGAGCGCCAATGCGAACGTGGAACCCTACCAGGAAACGGAACTTTATCATTGTTACCAACTTTATTTAACTCATTTGTAAATTACTTCAGAATTCTTACCCGGTGACCCGGTGGCGTGGATTGCCGACAGAGGTCTGCTATGCACACGCATGTGCATGTGCGTGCTTCTCTGCCCTGGTCCCCCATTTCGGGGCTCCGAAACCTGACCGTCCCTTTCCATTCCGTTTCGTTCCCTTCTACCTGCATGGCGCATCTCGAGTGAGTGTTCTCCAGATGGGCCCGACACAGCGCCTGTGTGTGAAGAGGGCCCCACAGCGGCGCAGGCAAGGCATAAACACCCCGGGGTGGGGTTGGAGGGGAAAGAGGAAGCGACGTCTGCCAGGTGCGCAGGTGGCGCCGTGGAGAGCAGTAAAACATGGTGGTGCCTCCAAGGGAAACGACCCGCCTCAAAAGTCTCCCTCATCGCATCTCCTCCTCGTCTCATCACAGCCGGCTTTCCTCCCTCCGCACATCTCGCCCCTGCGGACCCCAGTTGGGGTGGACCGCCCCCGGGACCCCACCCTCACCCTCACCCTCACCCTCACCCTCGCCCTCACCCTCACCCTCACCCTCACCCTCACCCTCACCCTCACCCTCACCCTCACCCTCACCCTCACCCTCACCCTCACCCACCTGCAGAGTGGGCCTCAATGCCGCCCCCGGTCTCAGTCCGTGCATGTCGGGTAGCGCGGCGAAGGCCTCACACGCGGACAGCAACGCACGGAACTCGTACACCTTGAGCCGGCTGAGGGGAGGGGAGGGTGCGGGGAAAAGGGGGTTGAGAGATATTACCATTATATGTTCCATGGAGCGTCTGCTTGGATGGACACGCGGCCGAATGCCGCTGGAAGCCACACAGTGGCGTGGGAGAGAGCAAAGGCAGAACATCACAGTGATGGTGATCCTTGGTTCTGGAATGCGCATGTACGTGCGCGCGCGCGTATGTGTGTATGTGTGTGTGCGTGTGTATGTGCGACGCGCGTGTATATTTCCGCCCCACAGTATGCGGAATCCAGTCCAGACCCCACCGCGAGATCCCTCCACCGCCATCATTTGTCGCTGCGCCGCAATCCGCTGCACCACACCATAAATTCACACACATATATATATATAGTGGCCGCGCCGGTATGTATATATACATATACTTACGTATATACATACACACATACGCCGCTTCCTACCTGTGCACGTCGCTTCGCGCCGCCATGAGTTTGGCCCACCTCCCCGTGGCGACATCCACCACCGCCTGCAGCGCCGAGTGCACCTCCCTCTTCGGTGTCACCAGTGCGGCTGCGGGCGCCCTGCCGCCGCGCAGCGCGTCCTCCACTAACGTCCCCACCAGCAGGGTGTGAGCTAGGTAGGCCTCAACCATACTGGGACACCGGGACAGGAGAGGAGGCAGGGGGGCAGGGAGGGGGGACGGCACGGAAAAGGGGGAATATTTGCAAGAAGCCAAGGATAATCTGCCGATGTCCAAAGCACAGCAGCACGTAAAGAGGGAGATGGGGACGTAATCGAGTTACTAACCAAGTGATCATGTTATAAAATAGGAAAGGGACCCGGGAAGCAAGATGAATGTGGATGGGAAGAGGAAGCATATTGAAAAGTACGGCGCAATTTGCAGGTGTGAACAGCTCGGCCGTAGCAGCCCGTGGAAAGGAGACAGAGGTAAAAAAATTGGGGATTAGGCAGGGAGGTAGGGAGAGTGCGCGTGCGTGTGTTTTATATGTGTGTATAAGCTACATATGTCCTATGTTTGGCATTTTCGGGTACATCATGGGTTAGTTTATGGCTTCGGGGGAGAAGTTGGTTTGGGCTTAGCCATGCTGTAGCTGCTCCTGACTGCAAGCTGTCACTGCACCGCCCCTGCTGCGCTGTGACGCGGCGTGCCATTCCGCGCGGCGCACCGCTCCCTAAGCCATGGAGGCCCCTCTCCCCCTCCCCCCCCCACCTGGTGATGACCATCAGGATCTGCATGAAGCCCAGGTGCGGCAGCACAGCCAACTTCTCAGCAAGAGACATATCCACACCGACACCAACACCGCCTCCGCTGCCCATGCCACCGTCGACACCCATGAGCATCCCCGCATCGGCG